GGGTACAGCTGGCTCTGCCTCTAGATAGGCAGAGCCAGCTGTCACTCACGCAGCTGGGCGGATCCCGGCACAATTGTCGGGATCCGCTTAAACTGCGGCGGCTCAGTATACCGCGAGCTACAGCTCTCTATATACTGAGCTTAGGGTGACGGAGAGGAGGCTAGTTTGTGTCCCCCCGTTACCCTAAGGAGAACTATGGGGAAAATATTTAACCCCATAGTTCTCCTTTAAACAAGCTTAGTTTTTCTGACCTCTTCCCTTTAATTAATTTAGCGCCTTTGAACTTTCTCCCAATCTCCCGACAGACTATCCCGTATCCGAGAAGTGGCCTCACAAGAGATAAGCCCCTTTATCTCGCCTGTCACAGCAGCACACAGCGAACCAATACATCTGCCGATGTGAGGAAAACAAAGCGCCCGCCTCAGTCACGCCTCCGACTTGTTATGCAGAATACATTTATCTTCAAAGATGAAGATTTCACAAATGCGTTTAGCGTTTTGGTGTTAAAATTGAATCGCTCGTTTGATTTGCTGAGCTGTAAATGGCTAATGAGAAAGACAACAAAACCGGGAAGGCCAAGCCGTGCCAGAAGCCTCGTTCGCTTCTCCTGTGCCCCTCCCCCGTCACGGCCTCGTCACTCTCGCCTTTGCTGAATGCTTTTAATGTGGTCACAGCGGGAGAGACCAAAACTTCTAATTGGAATTTGCTTTTGTGTTTTGTTAATTGAGCACTTTGCCTGCTTGCGGGTATTAGGTAAAAAAAAATAAAAAATTATTTTCGGTCGGCGCACCTGTTAGTCATCCCGCTGAGCTGCTTTTATATAGGCAGATCGGACCACCTGACCCTTGTCAGTGTAGGCTGTAGTTGGCCCAACCAGCAACAAGACCAGTCACCCTGCACAGCAGTGACCGGTCTTTACAGCTTTACAGCTCGCGGTATACTGAGCCTAGGGTGACGGGAGGACGCTAGTTTGTGTCCTCCCGTTACCCTAAGGAGAACTATGGGGAAAAGACTTAACCCCATAGTTCTCCTTTAATGCTTTAAAATTCTGCTTTACACACTGAATACAAGATGTCTTTGTGTACAAGGTCACAGAAAAGGTGAACTACCTTTGCTGCAAAAACTGCTGTTCAACAATCCAATAGCAGTTGGTCATGACCAGGTCCGGGTCTACCTTCTCCGCCGCCCCAAGGCCAGGTTCCTCAATGCGCCCCGCACCCATGGAGAATGGCGGACCTCAGGCTGCATACAATGTCTCCGAGATCACTTGTACAAAACAAGCGGCGGCTTCCCCCGCTGTACATTTAGCTCTGCTTGCCCAAAGCAGGGCTGAATGTAGAAAACAACTACCCGCCCGGCGCCCCGAACTGCGTGTCGCGTCGGAAGATAGGAATTCCACACCCCTGCTGCCCCTCTACTGCCTGCTGCCCCGAGGCCGGGCCTTGTGGGAAATCCGGCCCTGGTCGTGACCAGGTCCTGGAGTGGCATCTTGGGGGGGAAATCACTTGGCTCTTGATGACTCTTCCTGTACGTATGCAATGTAGATTTCCTTTGTCATTGTGCAGCAACCGGATTTCAACTTTAAAGCTGAACTCCGGGCAAACCGCCATATACCAACTTCAGTTCAGGTACATAGACTGACGCATTAATACAGAGCTGTGTCTTTTATATCCGCCCCGAGTTCAACTTTAATGGAGTGATGACAGCAGATGTGACTGCTGCGGGTTATCACAGGCCACTGTATTGCCGAGCGGATGGTGTGTGATGTTAGGATACAGAGAGAGAGACGCATATGAATAGTAGGGAGTATAAAGCATTTACAAGTGTCAGGCTGCTGCAATGGAGGTCAGTGGCTCTTCTTTCTAGAACAGCGCTAGTCAACTTGCTTGATATAGGGGGGACTTCAAGTGCGGCCCCTGACCTCCCTAAAGGGCCACACATCCTATTGAGTGAATGTAAGGCTACAAAAAGCTCTAATGATATACATTTCCATCCTAAGCAGCCCCTGCGGCGGTAGTGATTTGCTTGCCTTTGGAGGATCAGTATATAGCACATCATTGCCTTAGGCCCCCATTCACACTAAGCGACATACCTTTTGCAGCGGATCCGCGCGGCCGGGATAGCGCGACTTTCACGGGCGACGATCCAGCGACGGTAGCGCGACCTTCACCGTCGGGCTCCATTTAAAAAAATAGAAAAATCTCGCAAAATCCGCCGAAAAAAAGGGTCCTGCTGGAGCGACGGGCGACATGGAGCTAAGGCAGCTACATTGAATAGCATTGGCCGGTGTTCTGTCGATAGTAAAAACTTATCTAGTTGTGGGACCGCATGACTTCTGGTTTCCTTAGAACTACGAGTTTTGGGCAAGAAATTTGTTGTACACGAGCGCCATCCGCGGCATTGCTCTATACACATGCACCACAGCAATGAAGTAATAAAATGAAGTGGGATCACAGTAATCAAGCACGTTATTTATCTCCGGTGCCCCACTCAATATGGCCGCCGCTCGAGTGGGGCACCGGAGAAAAATAACGTGCTGGATTACTGTGATCCCACTTCATTTTATTACTTCATTGCTGTGGTGCATGTGTATAGAGCAATGCCGCGGATGGCGCTCGTGCAGAATAAGTTTTGTGTGCGAACCTCGTAGTTCTAAGGAAACCGGAAGTAATGCGGTCCCACAACTCGATAAGTTCGAACTTTCGATCGATCACAGGCGACTTCTCGCGGCGGAAATCGCTTAGTGGGAATGGGGGCCCCGACAGCGAGCAGCGTTCAATCCGTCTTTTTATCTTTTCATTATTGCAGAGCCTGAAGGTCGTGTTCCGGGAGCCGTTTCCAGAGCAGCCGCAGAACAGCGACAGCCCGTTACCTCAGCTGGTCTCCACCTACCACCATCTGGAGTCCGTCATCAATACCGCCTGCTTCAACCTCTGGAGCGGTCTGCTCTGACATCACCTCCCATCGCCTGCCAATACTGTACCGCCAATCACCAGGGACGCCTCGCCTGACATTGCGGAACGCCAAAGCACCAAATAAGGAACCTTGTCCTGGACAGTGCGATAGGAGATCGTTCTGTGACGTACAGGTTCCTGCTTATTCGCTTCCAAAGAACGGCGCCAATCAGACTCCCGCAGGCATGAGGTGCACCCGGTGTGGGCACATAGCTGACTCCAAACCTTCCCGGCACCACCGAATCTGACAGATGGAACTCTGACGCTTCTGGGTCATTTAGGAGATTGTCGCTAAGCCCGGCCCTCTGCATATTCCTGCTGACGCATCACTATGATGGGGAGCCTTACTGGCCAATAGCAATGTGCAGCAAGGGGAGGGCGGGCTTTTGCACCAGGAAGTGGCGACATTTTACCTGTAATAACAACTCGGCATTTGGCCTTGACAGGAAACTTTAGGAGACCGCTCTAAGTGCCTCCAGTAGCAACATTATTTAAGGTAGACTCCCTTTAAGGATTGTGCGCAGGTTTTGTCTGTCCCCCGTGTGGAGGCAGCACCTACCTTAAAGGATAAGTCCACCTTAAAACAAAGTTTTGCCTAACTGACTCCCTCCCCCTATAAATGCATACTTACCTTCATCCGAAATCCGCAGCCGCAGGTGATTGCTTACATCCCGGCCACACCTGTGATTATAGCCCCATAGACTTCTCTGAGTCCTGAAGATGAAGGGAGATGGTCCCATAGAAGTCTGGTGAGCAACGCCAGGATTTAAACACTTGAGGCTGCACCCCCTTGGATTGAGGTAAGTACACATCTGAGGAGGGGGCAGGTGGGAAAGGTTAAGTCAGAGCAAAAAGGTTAAGTGCACTTAGTTTTTAAACGGTTAGGGTCTCCAACCCGGTCTGTCTCTGCACCTCTGATTCCAGCTAAGGGTTCAGACCACACGCAGCTCTGAGCTCTGCTTTGGGAGTGCTTTGTGCCCGGCTGTCGTGCTGATTCAGCGGCTTTGAAGACGTCTTCCCTTTTTATTTTCTCCGGGCCCACAGGGGACAAAGTGCATGTAGGGGTTGTGTAAGGCTAGCTGCATGGTCGGGAGAGGATGCCCCACCACCACCACCGCTGTCTGACCACACAGCTAACAAGGGGATGAATGCAAAATGAGCTCTCATTGACGGCGCTTGTGACTAGCTCAGTGCACATGCCCGAGACCAGCGCCATCAATAGGAATGCAGGAGGAAGGGGCGTGCCCGCTAACCAACACAAGTACAGGGCACAGACATAAAGACAGCGCACTGCAGAGCCGATCTCCCCTGGCAGACACATCTGTCACCACAGCACTGGCCACCCAGAGGGCACAGCTGGCAGAACACTAGGTGGCAGAGTTGGGCATTAACACCGGTAGCACCGTAACACCACAGGGAGCCAGTGGCATGAGCTGGAAGATGGCAGACTATAGGGGTCCCGCTCTAGAGGTAGAGCTGAATCCGGGTGATCAGGTGAAATTGACATGAGCTGTAGGAGGGGCCACTAAGGGAGGCAAATGCCAGCATGATGCAGAATGTCCGTACCGCTTCCGGGTACAGTACTCGGGGCCAACACTGAACACAGTATTATATCCGCCTGCTTTAGGCACCTAGTTGACAGAGGTAGTGATGTCTCTGTCACTACTATTATCAGCCTATGTACAGAGCAGTACATGCTCCATTGTGCGATGTGGTAACAGACGGGTGATGGTGTTCTATCAAAGTTTGTGACTGCGTTAGAATGTGTGACCGGTGACGTGGTCACACATTTTAACTTGGTCACGCCCACTAAAATATGTGACCGGCAAAAGGTGTAGAATTCCAGCTGTTCCAGGGCAGATCGGTTTTCCTCCACATACCATCTGCGATGCCGATCTGCCCGCGAAACAGCTGACAAAGCTTTGGAATTCTTCACATTTTGCCGGTCACGTATTCCACCGCCGAGAAAGTGGGCGTGGCTACGTTAAAATGTGCGACCACGTGACCGGTCACACATTCCACCACCGGAAAAAAAGGGCGGGATGAGGTTAAAATGTGTGACCACGTCGCCGGTCACACATTCCAACCCAGTCACAATCTTTGATAGAACAATGGCAGCAATAGTAACGCCCATAAATCGGGCTTCTGTCAGGGGAGGGGCAGAGAAGCGGGAAGGCGATATACAAAGAAGGGATTTTCTTTTTCTAAAATAAATTTTGTATCTCACTGGAAGGACACAGCCAGGTATTTGTACATTAATTTATGGACCGGTATTTTACTTTTTAATCATGAGATTTGTTTAAACACTTTGTCTGAGGTTCTCACCTGGAATATTCATGCAGCTCTCAGGCGTCTGTCACTTTCTAACCTGCGTGCTTGTTCCGGGTCACTGACTAAAAGCACTGAGCTCAGAGACAGCCAGGCAGTTAGCATTCTTAGGAGGTCAGTCAGTCCGCAGGCCGATGTGTTGGAGGTGGGACAGAGTCCACGAGACGCCATTTCATTTCTCAGAGGATCAGATGCCCCGCCCACCCCAAACCCCTCCCCCCCTGGTCCTAGCCCTGCCATTTGCTGCTAAGCGTCCGCGATATGCCCCGGAATCCGGGTAGCAGAGACGCCGCGGACGTCGCCCAGCCAAGAGTCCGCGCTACAGACTGTTTTATTTTAAACCCGAAGCCATCGCTGAATTTAATGACGAGATGTAAGATTTTATGTAAATGTCGTGTAAATCCGAGGGAATATGCTAATTATGTGAATAAAGAAGTATCTTCTATGGAGAAGTGACGTTCTTCTAGGCGGAGATGAAGGAGATGTTCCTCTATGGAAGCCACGTGCGGGAATAGCGCTCCTGTGTCACTGAATATGAGAACTCTCACCGCTCCAATCCCGTGGTTGGGTTCCCTCAGGCGCCGGCTGACAAGTGCGTCCTGACCTGTAACTGATCCAGTAGAAGGTAGTCACCCTCCGGGTGTCCTCCATAATAATATATTCCAACCTTATTGTCATCCCCAAACCGATACACACCACGTACCGCTCCCCATCAGAATGGGCGTGATCATAAAGATCTCTATTAATGGAGAATTATGAGGGGGGTGCTTTTCACTCACCTCATAGTTCTGGCCGACCTGTGACAATGAGACTGTCACAGGTCGGCTCAGTATATCGGGAGGTGAGGGAACACATACCGGCGTTCGCTCACCTCTCGATCCTGTCCCGCTCTCTGCCGTGACAGGGGAGGGGCTGGATTCCCTGCTCCGATCTGCCAGCGCTGACTGGAGGAACGGACGGGGGAGGGGGCGGGTACAGCTGGCCCTGCCTCTAGATAGGCTGAGCCAGCTGTCAGTCACGCAGCTGGGCGGATCCCGGCACAATTGTCGGGATCCGCTCCGGCGTCTCAGTATACCGCGAGCTGTAGCTCCCTATATACTGAGCCTAGGGTGACGGGAGGACGCTAGTTTGTGTCCCCCCGTTACCCTAAGGAGAACTATGAGGTGAGTGATTTACACAGTGGCGGAACTACCGAGGTTGCAGCTGCGACTGGGACCTGGAGTTCCGTCACTTAGAGGGGGCCCAGGACAGGAGGAAGGGGGCCCCTGGTAACCGCTGATTACCAGGATATTTTATATCCCGGTAACCGCTAATATCAGTACCGGGGCCTCTTCCTCCTGTCCTGGGTCCTGCGTTCTTCACGCTGCTCCCCTCACCTTGTTCCGGGGGCAGCGTGATCCAGCCGGCGCAGCAGCCAATGGGTGGGGAGCAGGGCTATTCCCGCCCCCCTCATTACACAGAACGCTGCCTTCATGGATTCTCTGCGGTCACTAGTTACGCCTCTGGATTTACACATCCGCCTAGTTCGAGACGACATGTGACACTGAAACTGTCACAGGTCGGCTCAATAGATCGGGAAGTGAGCGCACGCATACCGCCGCTCGCTCACTTCTCGATCATGTCCCTGCAGTGAGACGTGACTGTCAGTCACCTCTCCCCGCAGGGATTCCTCCCTTCTCCGATCCTCCAGCTCTGACTGGAGGAACGGGGGGAGGGGGCAGATACAGATAGGCAGAGACAGCTGTCACTCACGCAGCTGGGTGGATCTCAACAGCATTGTCAGGATCTGTCCCGGCTGTGGCACTCACAGTATATAGCGGGCAATAGCAGCTATATACTGAGCTTTGAGTCACGGGAGGAGGTTAGTATATGTCCTCCTGTGACCCTAAAGAGAACTATGGGGGAAAACACTTACCCCATAGTTCTTTAAGCCCTTTCAGGTGAAACGCGTGAGCGGGGACTCTCTTCTGAGCGTTAGATGGCGTACAATGGTTTGTGGATTACAATACAGGTTGAATGTTATGGAGGACCCCCGGAGTGCGGCCATCTTTGTACGGGTTTCTGTATCATTGTCACACGAGAAGTTGCTTTGTGTCACACCGCTAGAGATTCTGCAGGAAAGGATCATACGATCCAGTCACAGAGATTGCAGCTCAGGGATTTACAGCCCTCGTCTCATAAAAACCGGATCTGAACCCAAAAAGTAAGGATCTGCCGGCCACCTGCAAGGAACGCAGGAACTGGTAATGCGTTTTAATCTCCGAAGCAATAAAGCATTCCACTCAGATCCCTCTACAGCAGGGGGTCTCAAATCTCCGGCCCTCCAGCTGTGGTGGAACTACAAATCCCATGAGGCATTGCAGGATTCTCACAGACACGAGTCCCGGAGAGAGATGCATGGTGGGATTTGTAGTTTCACCACAGCTGGAGGGCCGGAGGTGTTTGAGACCTCTGCTCTACAGGAACGACGACCTGGGTCGGAGGCGCGGAAAAGTAACAATTTATTATTCTGATTTTACCGAAACTTGATTTAAATAGTGAAAACAAATTATTTACAATCGCCACGAGAAAAATTACAGATGCAGAAAAAGTCGCCATTGATACGCAACGAGCAAATCTTGGAGCCGACCCCGTCCTCTGAGCACCGGTTTCTTATTGCTACAATAATACTCCTCTGCAGCCTCCGTATTTGGGGGCGGGGGGGAGTTGTAGTTCAGACGGACGTCTTGATGTTGCATCGGATCCTCTGGATTCCAAGGATTCAGTTGGGCTCGCCTCGCTCTTCCCGCCTTTTATGATACTCCTCCATCCAACCCAGTCCAGCTAACGTGTCACCTAGAACACAGCGCGGCATTTATAAACGGTTTACAGCAGAACTCCGAGATCATGAACGTATCATAATGTGTTTACATTGTTTCAATCGATCAATGCCGCGCAAACAATAATTGATTAACCTTCCTTCATCAGACATCATCGGCTGCGTCTGAAAAATGTACTGTGCTCAGACGCTGGGGGCGGAGCTATACAGGCGCCGCACCTGTCAGGAGGAGCTACATTTTCTATGAGTCAGTGAATGCACAGAGGTTGTGTATGTGGGCACAGAGCTCGGGGCTCTGCGTATGTGGGCAGAGCTCGGGGTTCTATGTATGTGGGCAGAGCTCGGGGTTCTATGTATGTGGGCAGAGCTCGGGGCTCTGCGTATGTGGGCGCAGAGCTCGGGGCTCTGCGTATGTGGGCAGAGCTCGGGGCTCTGCGTATGTGGGCACAGAGCTCGGGGGGCTCGGCGTATGTGGGCACAGAGCTCGGGGGGCTCGGCGTATGTGGGCACAGAGCTCGGGGGGCTCGGCGTATGTGGGCACAGAGCTCGGGGGGCTCGGCGTATGTGGGCACAGAGCTCGGGGGGCTCGGCGTATGTGGGCACAGAGCTCGGGGGGCTCGGCGTATGTGGGCACAGAGCTCGGGGGGCTCGGCGTATGTGGGCACAGAGCTCGGGGGGCTCGGCGTATGTGGGCACAGAGCTCGGGGGGCTCGGCGTATGTGGGCACAGAGCTCGGGGGGCTCGGCGTATGTGGGCACAGAGCTCGGGGGGCTCGGCGTATGTGGGCACAGAGCTCGGGGGGCTCGGCGTATGTGGGCACAGAGCTCGGGGGGCTCGGCGTATGTGGGCACAGAGCTCGGGGGGCTCGGCGTATGTGGGCACAGAGCTCGGGGGGCTCGGCGTATGTGGGCACAGAGCTCGGGGGGCTCGGCGTATGTGGGCACAGAGCTCGGGGGGCTCGGCGTATGTGGGCACAGAGCTCGGGGGGCTCGGCGTATGTGGGCACAGAGCTCGGGGGGCTCGGCGTATGTGGGCACAGAGCTCGGGGGGCTCGGCGTATGTGGGCACAGAGCTCGGGGGGCTCGGCGTATGTGGGCACAGAGCTCGGGGGGCTCGGCGTATGTGGGCACAGAGCTCGGGGGGCTCGGCGTATGTGGGCACAGAGCTCGGGGGGCTCGGCGTATGTGGGCACAGAGCTCGGGGGGCTCGGCGTATGTGGGCACAGAGCTCGGGGGGCTCGGCGTATGTGGGCACAGAGCTCGGGGGGCTCGGCGTATGTGGGCACAGAGCTCGGGGGGCTCGGCGTATGTGGGCACAGAGCTCGGGGGGCTCGGCGTATGTGGGCACAGAGCTCGGGGGGCTCGGCGTATGTGGGCACAGAGCTCGGGGGGCTCGGCGTATGTGGGCACAGAGCTCGGGGGGCTCGGCGTATGTGGGCACAGAGCTCGGGGGGCTCGGCGTATGTGGGCACAGAGCTCGGGGGGCTCGGCGTATGTGGGCACAGAGCTCGGGGGGCTCGGCGTATGTGGGCACAGAGCTCGGGGGGCTCGGCGTATGTGGGCACAGAGCTCGGGGGGCTCGGCGTATGTGGGCACAGAGCTCGGGGGGCTCGGCGTATGTGGGCACAGAGCTCGGGGGGCTCGGCGTATGTGGGCACAGAGCTCGGGGGGCTCGGCGTATGTGGGCACAGAGCTCGGGGGGCTCGGCGTATGTGGGCACAGAGCTCGGGGGGCTCGGCGTATGTGGGCACAGAGCTCGGGGGGCTCGGCGTATGTGGGCACAGAGCTCGGGGGGCTCGGCGTATGTGGGCACAGAGCTCGGGGGGCTCGGCGTATGTGGGCACAGAGCTCGGGGGGCTCGGCGTATGTGGGCACAGAGCTCGGGGGGCTCGGCGTATGTGGGCACAGAGCTCGGGGGGCTCGGCGTATGTGGGCACAGAGCTCGGGGGGCTCGGCGTATGTGGGCACAGAGCTCGGGGGGCTCGGCGTATGTGGGCACAGAGCTCGGGGGGCTCGGCGTATGTGGGCACAGAGCTCGGGGGGCTCGGCGTATGTGGGCACAGAGCTCGGGGGGCTCGGCGTATGTGGGCACAGAGCTCGGGGGGCTCGGCGTATGTGGGCACAGAGCTCGGGGGGCTCGGCGTATGTGGGCACAGAGCTCGGGGGGCTCGGCGTATGTGGGCACAGAGCTCGGGGGGCTCGGCGTATGTGGGCACAGAGCTCGGGGGGCTCTGCGTATGTGGGCACAGAGCTCAGCTATCTGCATAACTGCCCATCAATGACTGTGGGCGGGTTGTGACCGGGTGCTGTGCAGATTGTACCCACCCACAGAAGAAAGCGTGACTTAAGCACATCACCGCTCTCCTTCTCTAAACTACAGAGATGAGGGAACACAACCAGGAGCTATTTCTCCTTAGGAAGGAAACAGTGACGCCCAGTCACACCATACGGAAGCGGCCCTCAACATGAGGCCTAAGAAAAACAGACACTGGCTGGGAATGGACCTTTGTCTCTGAGTGGACATGTGGTGGTGGACCTGTGTCTCTGAGTGGACATGTGGTGGTGGACTTGTGTCTCTGGGTGGACCTGTGTCTCTAGATGGACCTGTGTCTCTGGGTGGACATGTGGTGGTGGACCTGTGTCTCTGGATGGGCCTGTGTCTCTGGGTGGACCTCTGGTGGTGGTGGTGGTGGAGGACTTGTGTCTCCGGATGGACTTGTGTCTCCGGATGGACTTGTGTCTCCGGATGGACTTGTGTCTCCGGATGGACTTGTGTCTCCGGATGGACTTGTGTCTCTGGGAATGGACTTGTGTCTCTGGGAATGGACCTGTGTCTCTGGGTGGACCTCTGGTGGTGGTGGACCTGTGTCTCTGGGTGGACCTGTGTCTCTGGGTGGACCTGTGTCTCTGGGTGGACCTGTGTCTCTGGGTGGACCTGTGTCTCTGGGAATGGACCTGTGTCTCTGGGAATGGACCTGTGTCTCTGGGAATGGACCTGTGTCTCTGGGAATGGACCTGTGGTGGTGGTGGTGGACCTGTGTCTCTGGGTGGACCTGTGTCTCTGGGTGGACCTCTGGTGGTGGTGGTGGTCGACCTGTTTCTCTGGGTGGACCTGTGTCTTTGGATGGACCTGTGGTGGTGGACCTGTGTCTCTGGGTGGACGTGGACCTGTTTCTCTGGGTGGACCTATGGTGGTGTTGGACCTGTGTCTTTGGGTAGATCTCTGTCTCTGGGTGGACCTGTGGTGGTGGAGAACCTGTATCTCTGTCTTCATTTCACCTTACCAACTATGTAACTGTGATGTGTTTACGGGAGAAAAAAAAGTGATGAGCGTTTTTGGACAAGTTAAGCCGAGCAGCTTGCAAAAATAATTATCTGCCTCCTGGCTGGAGTTCAACTTTATCTTTTACCTAATAGTTTTCCCCCAAAATCTTTACTAAAATCTAATACAATGTTCTGTGCACTTATTTGAAAGCTTTATAAAACACCCGTCAGACATTTTTGCATTTCGTTCCATTGACAATCTTACTGGACGCCCATAAAGACAGCAAAATGAGTATTTCCAATGGTGAGTTCCCTGCTCTGGGTCGCCGGGGTCTGCACGACTATTGCCGTCATTTAAAGCAACTGATTTAAAGAAACTGGAGAGCTTCATCGCGGCAACACCCAGATCTCCAAAGTGACTGTGGCCAAACGTTTTTCTTTCTCGGTCCATTGGGGGGACAAAGGAATTCAGATACTGTCGGGTTATGCTGCTGTCTGCGGGAGGCCTGGACACTGGTGAAACTGTAGGCCAGCACATGGTTCCCCTACTCGGCATTCCTCAGTTTCTTGCTACTGTACTAGGAGGATGGACGTTTCTTTCTTCAGCTCTGCTGCAAAAAATTTACCCAAATTTTTCTGGACTTTTTTCGGATTCTCCTCCTCACTTTAATCATGATTCTGCACTTCATCGCGGTCTGAGCTGGTCTCCACGTTGTCCTATTCTCAGCTAGATTTCAGAGTGTTGTTCCTCAGACCCGCTGGACTGGATGTTCTGGTGTTAGCCTGGAATGTGGTCTTTGGGTCCTGGGTGTTGTTCCCAGACCCGCTGGACTGGATGTTCTCGTGTTAGCCTGGAATGTGGTCTTTGGGTCCTGGGTGTTGTTCCCAGACCCGCTGGACTGGATGTTCTCGTGTTAGCCTGGAATGTGGTCTTTGGGTCCTGGGTGTTGTTCCCAGACCCGCTGGACTGGATGTTCTCGTGTTAGCCTGGAATGTGGTCTTTGGGGTCCTGGGTACTCCTACCTGCCCAAATGCTCCCAATGCCTAGCCCGATACCAAAACATCCTCGTCACCGGGGAGCATGGATAATCACTCGTCCCCCAGCTTCCTGATTGGCCAGGAAGCCGGCTCCATGCTCCCTTGTTCTCCATGCTCCCTCGTCATCTGGTGACGAGGGAGCATGGAGCCGGCTTCCCAGCCAATCAGGAAGACAGGTGACGAGTCATTACACGCTGCCCCGGCTTCCTTAATGGGACTTCCGGTATTCGGTATTGGCGAGTACCGAAAAAATCATATCGGTACTCGTACTTGATACCGAAAAACCGGTATCGGTGCATCCCTAAAAGAAAGCCTTGCGGGCAGGAAGGGGTTGAACAATAACAATACATCCGGCAGTCACACAAATTGGGAAACAACAACAAAGAAAACTTTATGCCATTGTAACGAGTGAATAATAGAAAGTTGCAGTGTTTGCCGGGTCCCCCGCCCCCCTCCCCCCGCGCCGGGCACTCACCGCAAGGTTTGTATTCACATCCGACGTATCCCTGGTAGCCCAGCTCCTCCAGGAGGTCGAACAGGTACGGGAAATTCAGCTCTCCGGGACTGTCCGGCTCGTGCCGATGGGGGACCTGCGCGATTTGGACGTGACCTGAGGACAAAGGTCGATAGGAAGCGCTATTAGTGGCGGTCAAACCGCAAAACCCGGCCCCCCGAAGAGCTGAGCTTAATAGACCCGGCATGTGCCAGATCCGCCTCCCATCCATCGGAGAGCGCAGGAAGTAGAAACGTTTCTAATGTCGTCACTTGTAAATAAGAGCGCTCTCCCGGGGAACGACACCGGCCTTCTATCCGCCGACTTTCACCGCCATTATCTCGCCGGAACCTATAATTACGGCCGCGTGAATTCCGCCGGGCGCGTCCGGGATGCCACTGGCAGCCGAGTGTCTGTTCAGCGATGAAGATGTAAATCATAGCGGATAGCTAATCACAAACATCTCCAGAATGAGAGGGGGGGATGGGGGTGTTGTAGTTCTCGGTGAAGAGCGGCACTTGTGTGCCGAGAGCTGCGGTCTGCTGGAACCATCACACGGCAGGTACTGCCAGGACGGCACAGGATGTGTAGGGATCAGAGGCAACGGGGATGCCGCACTTCACAAGAGGCTCTTTAGAGGATGAGGGGCCACTTTGTGATGAAGATACAAATTAATTGGCGGCTTGTGTTTTTTTATACCGCGCTTATTCACCGGCAGCCACCGTGAGCTGATCAGTTTATAGAGCACACGCCTTGCGTCAGTGTCTGAAAGCAAGTACAAAGGGACAAGCAGGAGCGGGAAATGTCTCCCCGGGTGCCGTGACTACAGAATCTCCATCATCTCTCTGGAGGTGCGTGATCTCAACTCCTCCCTGCCAGCCAATGTGCAGCTAGCCTGGAGCCATGGAAGCAGATGTGCGTTCGCGGTGGCCGGTTTGCGTCCTTTTAACCGCTAATGACATCCTCAGGTCTCTGGCCTGGAGCTCCTTCCTCAGCACTCCTGAGACGCCCGCTGTGTGCTGCAGCAAGGACAGGCTAACCCCGCCCCC